CAGGAAACTGGGCCACATTGAATTTGTAGATCTGTAATGTTGTAGCTGCTTGACTTACTGTATATAACACCCAACACTACAACTGCACAACTGTAGATTCACTCTGTGTTAAATGCTAAAAGTCTGACATAAATGTTGTGTTATGTTGCAGGTAGAGTTGTTCTGAGAGACTGCACAGCATATTCAGGAATTGAGTGCCGTTCTTGTGAGCTGGGGACCTTTATGAACCAACCCAATGGCCTGTATAACTGTTTCCCCTGCACATTATGTGATACAGGTACAGTCAGATGAGAAATCCTTTGTCAAATTTAGATTGAAAAAAAAAAAAATAAAGCTTTCATTTAAAAGTAAATTACAGAAACATCATTTTACACTAATGTTTTTTGTTTTGTTTTTTAGGTCGTGGTCTCTTTGTCAAGCAGAAGTGTACAGCAACAACTGACACAGTGTGTGACGTTTTCAATGGATATTACTGCAAAGGTTTGACAGACAGTAACGGATGTAGTTTGGCAGAGAAACATTCACAGTGTGCAGCTGGTCAGAGGATAAAAGAACCTGGTAAGAAAGTTTAAAGTCTAAGTCTATTTTTTAGATGAACTGATAAACTGTGATTTTAGTTTTTTTTTTCTGGATTGTGTGTAACAACGAATGTGTTTCTTTCAGGAACCAGCAGAAGTGACACAGTATGTGAAGACTGTCAGCCAGGCTTTTTTTCCAAGGACGGTGTGAACTGCACAGGTTGGAAAACGTAGGTCATAATTTATATTCAAATCCCTCTAAAGGTGTATTATATACTCAGCTATTGGTCATCAGTGTCTTAATGGAATCTCCAATATCCTGGGCTGTGTCACATCACATTGCCTGCAGTAATACCAACATAAATTTCCATGTGATTTAGTGTCATACCAGAATATCATTGCTATAGCAACACCATGTGGTCATGTTCTCTTGTCTGTATATACAGTCGTATATTATCAATTATTAATTACCAACAATAATGTGGTGTCTCAGTAACTACGTACTGATGATAATCATGATTTTAATAATATAATATCTATAGTGTGAAAGTCACATAGTGATAAATAATTGTCTAATTATTTGTTTTACACAGTCTTGCTACATTTAGTTTAATTATTTTGCCACAAAAAAAAACTTTGATTGTTGACTGTGTTTCTATAGATATTGCAATAATGATTATTTACGTGATTGGTGTGAAAATTGAATTATGACATGCCAATAAAATGTTAGTAAAATGATGAGAACTGGGTAATCGCAGATAGAGTACTGGGTAGTTACAGGTAACTAGATATTAAAGTGGAACCAGCTATTTGTTGATTGGGTTCATTCCAGGACATGTTTGTCCTGCATATCTGAGCCACAGACAGACGACAGGACAGTTAAACAGTTAATATTGATGGTCACATTGTTACAAACATCTTTACAGTGCAAACACAAATAAACACTGATAATAATGATTTATTTATATTTTATTTCTTTTTTGCCACAGTTGCTCTGAGAGCCAGATTAAAGTTGAAGAAGGAAGCTCAACCAGTGACGTTGTCTGTGAAAGCCCATCAAGACATCGTTATTTTTTTATTTCATCTGTTGTGCTTTTACTAATAATAGCAATTTGCCTTGTGACAACAGGATTTGTGAAAGCAAGGTAAGTGCCATCTAACCAGTGTCAAATCTGCTCCCTCTGCACAGCACCTACAGTCACTAACATGTTAATAACTCTGTTTTTTCAGGAAACTGCTCAAATAATTGCTCAGGGACTACCCATGATGCCTGAGAATGCGGACCTCATGTTCGCCATCTCTCCTCCATTTGGCTAGCAGGATTGATGTCCTGACATTGATGATGGCTTCACCTGGTTCGGGACTCATTGTCCAACGTGGCACTTACACAGATGTGCACAGCTGTTTAATCAAAGTGATGCTGCAGTCGTCTGTTGAGGGTGCTGACCAGCCATCACCAATTTCTCTGCTTGATGCTCGCTCCATTATAGACAAACCATTTATTCTAAACGATCCCTTCATCAAGGAGTCTCCAGACTTCATGCTCCTGACTGAGACATCGCAGCAGGACATGGATCATGTTTATTTTGAGGAGATCTGCACAGCTGGCATTTCCATCATTGTAACTGGGTGTCTTTGGGGATGTGGCAGAGGACTTTCTGCTGTGTACCAGCACAGACTCACATGCAGGCTGATGAAGTCAGACTCTATTTCTTCATTTAAGTTACAGATGATTAGGGTCGGTTCTTTGAAAACCTTTTATTGTATTTCAGTCTACCGACTTCCTGGTGTTGCCAGAGTATTTTCAGCT